ATCAGCCTGATATCTCACAGTGATTGACAGGAGAGGGGGGCTGCCCTGTGCCCTGCTATCAGCCTGATATCTCACAGTGATTGACAGGAGAGGGGGGCTGCCCTGTGCCCTGCTATCAGCCTGATATCTCACAGTGATTGACAGGAGAGGGGGGCTGCCCTGTGCTCTGCTATCAGCCTGATATCTCACAGTGATTGACAGGAGAGGGGGGCTGCCCTGTGCCCTGCTATCAGCCTGATATCTCACAGTGATTGACAGGAGAGGGGGGCTGCCCTGTGCCCTGCTATCAGCCTGATATCTCACAGTGATTGACAGGAGAGGGGGGCTGCCCTGTGCTCTGCTATCAGCCTGATATCTCACAGTGATTGACAGGAGAGGGGGGCTGCCCTGTGCCCTGCTATCAGCCTGATATCTCACAGTGATTGACAGGAGAGGGAGGCTACCCTGTGCCCTGCTATCAGCCTGATATCTCACAGTGATTGACAGGAGAGGGAGGCTACCCTGTGCTCTGCTATCAGCCTGATATCTCACAGTGATTGACAGGAGAAGGGGGGGCTGTAGGGGCAGGAGAACCCTGCTTACAGACACACTGGAATTCTGGGAATATATAATGGGATTAGTGGGGAGCACGTGCCTACATGGGGTCCCCAGCCCCCCAGCCCGGGGGTACCCCCCACCCAGTACTTACCGGAGCCTCGATAAACACCTGCTGACAGGAAGAGCTCTCACACAGGGTAGGAAAGCAAGGAACACCGGCTAACGGAAAGACGGCCCGGCGGAAGTGACGCGTTAGATAATCACGTGCTGATGGGAGGGCGGCCATCTTTGAACTGGGCAAGAAATGGGCACAAGAGTCTAAGTTTTTCACCTTTGTATCGAGGTTATTCAGTAAAAGTATGATGTGCTTGGAATTCAGAAGTAAACTTCAGCATTCAGACCCCCAAAATTGCTGAATTGTTAAAAAGTATCCAAGTTCAGTTAAGGTTCTGAGTTTGTCTGCTTTGGTTTAAAAGTTGAGATTGACAAGAATTTAGTGAGAAAACATTTTAAGTCCCAAATTTACAGGGATATTCATCACAGTGAGAATTTTAAAGTGAACTCCAAATTTAAGGTCTAAAAGTAGCTGTACTAGAAAAAGTTGCAAAGTCAGTTTGGCCTTCACTTGGAATATACTATGAATTCTCGCTATAGCGAAAAACTCTGAGATTCTTCCTGTAAACGGCATTTTATATTGAATCCAATATTTTGATCTAATTTACAGTATGAGGTTGAAAAACATTACAGGCCCGAGTAATCACATAGACAGATGGGGTAAAACAGAAATCAGAAGACATAAAATATAAATGAAGAGCTAATAGTACTGGGGTTCAGGACCACCATCAGGGAAGTACAGCCAATATAGCACTTTTTAGGACCCAAGGACTTTATAACTATTGTCACATTGGTACTGTCACACCTAGACCACCACAAAAATTGTATGTAAAGTATGCCAGATGACCTTTTCTCATCATTATAGATCATACACCACACACTAGCACTCATTATTACAGTGAGACAGATTTAAACCTAGACCAATTCGAGAAACTACTCTGGCTCCTCACCAAACATTGCACATCTGTCAAACTCTTCTCCGCTATCCAATACAGACACTGTGCAAGACACGGATGTATTTTATGTGCCTTAAAGACTACTTAGATTCTCGAAAACTGCACATATTGGGGAAGAGGAATCTCGCTCATCCTTCCTCCCGCAGACCGCGGTTGAGGAAGCTACTCTATCCTTACTACCCACTGAACTACAGAGATTGGGGGGGTGCTTTGGGCAGCCCTTTTCCACCATTCCACCTGGAGATTGCATCGCCTGGGACGATGCACACTAAGACAGCTACCTGTGCTACCTTATTAGGGTAACCCAGGCAGCCCTGTATTGGGGTAAAGCTGTTAAAGGAAGATGAGAGCAGGCCACATAACTTTTGATGTGCTGCTTATCAATATGTACAAGCTGTATGTGTTTAGGAAAACATGGTGAATCGTGAAACCGTATTCCATACTGGTGCAGAGACAGACTCTGGAGCTTCCTGACAATAGGCATAAGTTAATTTCAGAACTGGCCAACACTCTGGAAGGAATTAAAGACTTAGTTTTAACCAATCTCTTCTTGTTCTGCTGTCTGTTCCACTGTTTGTTGTTTTCTTTCCTTACGGGCTACGGGTGTTTTCAAACATTGATTGACCTGTTTGACTGCTATATAAATGAACTAATAAATACTTTCTATTTTATACTGTTTTTTGGACTAGTAACATCGGTTGAACAGTTGAATGAAGTTAAAATTAGACAAAGGGATGAGGAAGTCCCTGTTCAAATGAGCTTACAATCTATGGTATATATTATGCCTCTTGTATTCACTATAACATTATTGCTTTAAGTTAAAAGGAAAAAAAAAAAAAGGAAACTTAAGTTTTATTCACTAAACTGAATCAGTGGTTAACTCAACAAAAGCA